AGTTTGTATTGTACGTTGCCAGTTTGAGATCATGAGAATCCACTCTCTTTCGTACATCGATAATTTCGTTGCTGAAGCCAGCAAGGTAATTTCGGATTTTTTCACCGTAATTATCGAAAGCAATCTTGAAATCTAACTTTATTTGCGATATAACTTCATCCACATATTGTTTGTTTGCAACATCAGCGACATCTGTTGGCAGTTTTACGTTACACATCTTCAAATGACCAACATCAATATCACCGGTTGGAGTATGTGAAAATCCAGATCTGACTGTCACCATCTGAGCTGAGCGTGGAAACGAACCACGTCCGAATTTGTCGAGACTCATTATGCTAATGACTAAAGTATTGTACGTTATCGATAATGGTCGGCACTTTGCCTCGCCAATTATTAGCCCCTTCACTCATAGACATGCCATGGACGTGTCACGGAACTGTCAAGGAAGTGTCACGGAACTGTCACGGAAGTGTCAAGGAAGTGTCACGGAACTGTCACGGAACTGTCACTGAAGTGTCAAGGAAGTGTCACGGAACTGTCACGGAAGTTGTCATGGAAGTGTCATGGAAGTATCACAGAAATGTTACACATGTTTTATTATGCCTGCCTCTTCTAATTCGTTCAAGATGGCAACAATCTCGTTATCGTTTGATGTATTTCCGGCTTGCTGTGATGCAATGAGCAACTTCAATCTATCTACCAATTCATTTGGATCATCCCAATACATGTATTCGATAGGTGCTGTGTTGTATGTCAACTTCAAACCACGACCACTGGAATTGGATCTGAACATTGGACGAATAATTTCTACGTATTTGAGTCTAGAGGAGGACTTCATACGTCCTGCAGAATTCAGATGAGCTTTGGTGAGCAAGAGTATTTGCTTGTATGGGTTCGTATCATCTTTGGCAAAGGATGGATCATTATAGAAGAGTAATTGATAGAGGCCTGGGGTGCCACGGAACCGAAAGCCATCAAGAAGTATATCTCCAGTTCTTCGATGGAAATTCATTTCTTTTCCGTTGAGAGACCATTTCGATGTTACTGGATCATATTTGGGACCATAAACCGTATCGATATTTTCATCATTTGTCCAGTATTCAGTCAGATATTTTTGAGCCATCGCAGGATACTGATCAACGTAATCATGTATTGCAGCCGGTGAGATATTTTCACTATCTACAAAAAGTTCATCATCAGCATCGTCATAACCATCCTCATCATCATCTTCAGTATGCCCAGCATTATCAGCCACATCCATCATAGGTATGAAATTAGTTTGGTTCAAATCCGATTGCTCCCTCTCAACCTCCCCATCCTCTTCCTCATTCTTCTCCTTCTTCAACCCCAACGATTTTGCTCTGCTTCGCTTGATGTTTGAAAGCGTTCCATCGAGTTTTTCTTTTATTACCTTGGACGTGGTGGCAATTTGTTTCAAAGGTGATGTCAGTGGTTGGAATATTTTCTGTAACGCATCATCATCCTCAGACTTGCCCAATTTTAGTGCTAAATATTTTCTTCTGATTGATTTCGATAGTTCGTTGATTTTTTTCTTGCGCAGCGCATCAGCAACATCATCATGCATCTTGGTTGACGTCATCTTGATGAATGGTCCAGAGATCACAGTCTTATGAACTTATCGAAACCATTTCTATATCTGCCAGCATTCATATCGAAAGTTTTTGCAATCACCATCGCACCATATTGGTTGGAATTCCAACACTCTGAGCACAATGCTTTAAATTTATCGAATGACATGTCTGGTGAGACATGCTCGTCGAACACATGCTTCAAATTCATTTCATCCTGTCGAAATAACACCAACAGGTTACTGTTGTCTCGCACCAGCTGCTTCGGTATCTTAGAAAAAGTCTGGCATAGGTATGCTACGTCAATATCCTTGTGTCTACACATTGAAAAATATTCTCGAATTTTTTGCTGCTTGTCGCATGATACATCATCAAAAATGAATATCGAATTATTTTTCGCTTCTGATGGACTAATGACATCATCATTTTCTTTAAAGGGAAAATACCCAACACCTTTCACTGAATCCAACACTTGTTGCAGCAATTGATATTTCGGTTGGTACAACGACTTTGAATACACGTAAACGTTCTCGAATTTCGCGCCATTTGGATTGAACAGCAGGGAAAGCATCGCATTGGTCTTTCCACATCCGCTTGGTCCGCAGAAGATTGCTCTGAACGAATGGGGAAGCAGTTTCCCATGTTTACTATTTACTGGTGGTTTGGTTGACAAAATTTCATCCAAATTCACAATGGGTAACATCCGTTCTTGTTGAATGATCTTCATCATGTGATGATATATTTTTCATTTCATTAGGTATATGCAGAGTTGTCGAACTTCCTACACGTCAGTCTTCATGTTGCTCTACCACGGAGAGGGTGTGCTTAATTCTCTGATCGATAAACTTCCCATCGAATTACACATTCCAGGCTACAGATTTTGTGGTCCAGGTACCAAACTCGATAAAAGACTTGCAAGAGGAGACACCGGTATCAATCCGTTGGACGACGCGTGTCGAGAACACGATATCGCCTATTCACAAAATTCCTCAATAGAAGACAGGCACAAAGCTGATTGGATATTGGAAAATAGAGCGTGGGAGAGAGTCAAGTCGAAGAACGCTAAATTCAAAGAGAAGGCTGCTGCTTGGCTTGTCACCACCGGAATGAAGGTCAAACGAAAACTTGGCATGGGTCTTGTATCACAGCAATCCCTATCCAACATTATCAAATTCATAAAAAATGTACTATCAAAGTCAGATGGTGGTGGTGGTGGTAGTACAACATCAGGAAGTGGTCTGAATAAATCTGCATTGAAAGCACTCCATGCAGCCAGAATGGCAGTCAAGAGGGCTGGCGGTAAAAAAAGAATCAGAGTACCAAGAATCATACCTCTTCCACACAGTGGCGGTATACTACCATTGATACCAATCTTTGCCGCCTTGGGAGCCCTAGGATCTCTAGCTGGAGGAGCCGGAGCAGTCGCAAAGACAGTCATTGATGCGAAAAATGCAAAGAAAAAGCTCGAAGAAGATCAAAGACATAATAAAGCAATGGAGGCTATCGGCAAGCAGGGTTCCGGCCTATTTCTACGCAAAACATCGAGAGGATTCGGACTGTACTTGAAGAAACAATCAAAAAACTCAAAAAACTTCTAGACAAGCTACCCAATAAATCAATGTACGATAAAGATGTGATAAAGTATGCCAAACAGCTGAAAATACCGTATTTTCGAGGTGTTTTTATGCGGGACACTCTACCTTCCACCGGTCCATGGCATCGCGAGTGTGCTGTATTGAATTTGGATACCTCCAATCATGCGGGCACTCATTGGGTGGCTTACATAAAAAATGATAAAAAAGCCTTATATTTCGATAGTTATGGCAATCTGAAACCGCCCAGAGAATTGGCGCAATATTTGGGTGCCAGCACGAAAATCTTGTACAATAACAATCAATACCAGAATTTCAATCAAAGTAATTGTGGACGTCTATGTTTAGAATTCCTTTTTAATGAGACCAAGTAACTCGGTCATTGTGCATCAGTCATGTCTCTGATTGTGACGTTGAAAGGTCGTACATCTACGCTCTCCATAGACTTTTTGACACCACTCCAACTCGATCCAGACTCTGATTACGGACTAGCATTGTTGGGATTCCATTCATACAACAGTATACCGAATATCGACAAAGGATCAAAGTTTTATCTGCAAGATAAGACCAAGGCGGGAAAGATCATCGATATTCCCGAAGGTTCATACGACATTGTGGACATTGAGACATTCATACGCAAAGAATTGGGCATCTCAAGTGCAAAGGACGTTGATGATATATTCTCGTTGAAGCCCAACAATAATACACTAAAGTGTGAGATTTCGAGCAAACAGTTTGCCATTGATTTTCGCCCGAAGGATAGCATAGCTCAAGTCTTGGGATTTTCAAATAGATTGTTGAACGCACAACAAGTCCACACTTCCGATTTGCCGGTCACCATAACCAAAGTGAGAACCATTCACATTGATAGCAACGTTACTGCTGGAGCTCTCTACAACGACAGACCATCACATACGATCTACGAGTTTGCAGTTGCAGTCGATCCTGGTTACGCCATAGACGAGACTCCCAGAAATCTAATCTATCTACCTATAGTCAGCAGGCGGGAATTGCCCAACATTACACTCCAGATTCTAGACCAAGATTTCAGGCAGGTGAATTTTAGAGGTGAAGAAATCATCATAAGATTGGAATTGAAGAAACTCGCAAGATGGTACTAGTGTTTGATTACTCCTATAAATCAGATAATATACCATCATCAGCAACATCATCGGCACCAGTTCTCTCGACACCGTACACCAAAGCAGTCGTGTCTTCGAAGAGCAGCAGCAACAGAAAAACATTGACATTATCCAGTGTCCTGTTTCTGAAATCTTTCAAAGACTACAATGTTGTTAGCACCCGTGTTCGACGTTTTCCGCAAACCCAGATTCGACGAAAGCATCACTAAAGTGGAATGGCGTACCTATTATCCATATGTGAAATCATTCGAGAACAATGATGTCATCGATATAACGGTTAATCAAGCAGATTCGTGGTTGGCCATGTTTGAAGGCATCATTACCATCAAGGGTAAATTGAAGGTGACCGGTGGTGGTACTGGTACATTAACCCACAATGCTGGAGCTTATCTCTTTGATTCCTGCACCTATGAATTGTGTAATAAAGAATTGGACACTGTCAGATATCCTGGAATAACGAGTACTGTGCGAGGATACTTGTGTTATACACCTGAAGACTCACGTCATCTAGCCATAGCAGGCTGGAACTATCCCAATGCTCCGATCCTCAACACCGATGGTACGTTTAGCATGAACATTCCACTGAAACATTTGTTTTCCATCTTCAATGATCATCAAGTGGCAACGTGGGGCAAGCAGTCAATCCGTTTAGTGAGAGCTCGCAATGATGCCAATAGTGTGAAGGTTGTCGAGAGAGCGAATACTGCTTTGCAAGGATCTCCTCAGACTCAGAGTATTGCTAAAATAACGATAGAAAGCATCAATTTGAAAGTGCCACATCTCACACCCAACGATGACATAAAGTTGCAGTTGTTGACACGTATCAAAGCAGATGAGTCTATGATGATACCGTTTCGCCGATGGGAATTGCACGAGCTACCAGCACTCACACAAGGATCTACCATAGAAATCTGGTCCGTCAAGACATGTTCTGCATTGGACAGTCCAAGATATGTTATAGTATTTTTCCAAACGAAAAAAGCCGATAATTTGCATGAAGACGTCACCTTGTTCGATAATGCCAACATCAAATCCATACGATTGGCTCTGAATAGCGACTATTATCCGCAAGAACGAATGCTATTGGACTTTTCCCGAGACCAATATGCCGACGCCCACTTCAACTATACAGAGTTCAACAAGAGCTACCATAACTGTCAAGAAAAGCGCTCTCTAGTAAACTTTGCCGAATTCAAATCCCGACCAATGTTTGTTATCGATTGCTCGAGGCGCCATCTGGGTCTAAAGTCGTCCACAGTTGACATAAAGTTGGACATTGAAGCGACTACAGGCTTCCCTCCCGACACCAAAGCCTATTGCATCATCATTCATGATCAAATCATGGAACATCTCCCACTCAGCGAAATTGTTCGAAATATTGCCTAGGTGGGTGTTGTGACATCAGTCAGACGTCAGTTTGCTTCGAAGAGTCATGGAGATCGCACTGGTTGACATTCAAGGGTTCACGGTTGATGGTGAATTCATTCCAAAGGAAATGACCATTCGCATAGGCAAAAAGACGAGTCATTTTCTATTCAAGCCATCTGTAGAATTTTCCAGTTTAAGCAGAGAAGATAAAAAGATGGCAAATCATGTGGAGCGTTACGTTCATGGTTTAAAATATTCCAGTGGTTATGTGGATTTGAATGAGTTGGATCAAATACTACGAGATAACCTGCAGCAGACAAACATCATCTACGTAAGAGGTCATCAAAAGATTCAGTTTTTGCAGCGAAAATGTGCAGAGTTGGAGATGACCAATCACATTGTTAATTTGGAAGATTTTGACAATTCTTGGTGGCAGCCAATAACGTTCCTACAATCCATTCCACCCTGCATGAATCATTTCCATGGAGGAAGGTTCCAGTGCAGTCTCCACAATGTCGATACTTTATATAATTGGTTATGTAATTTATTGCCAAAATAAAAAACTATATATCGTAATTTCAGAGTTTTTATTCATCACATCCCTTATTTCTCAGTATAATGAAAATAACATGCGAGATTAAAATGAGTGAACATATTAGTGTACAACAAAGTGTCAAAATTGCAATGATATTGACAGAATCTTGATCATCATCTAATTTTGCGGGTGATTTCTTCAATGTAAATGTCTGCCAGTCTCCCATTTCGCCGTCACTGCCATCAGAAAACGATAATTTCAATTTGTAGTCGATGGTGGTCCCATTGACTCGAGGCATGTCGATTGAATATACAGGTAGTTTGTTATCGTTGACATACATTCTACTCATCAGCTTCCAATCACACTGTTGTGTACGATTCACATCAAAACATACGGCCGCATTCCTCGTATTGTACGGTATGTTTGTGTAGAAGACGTTGTTGCTCAGAGCTGTCAATAGAATGAAGCTTGCTTTCAGTATCGCCATCTAGTAGCTGTGTTGGTTGGATTCTTCTCGATGTAGGTGCAACTGAACGTCTTGGTTCTGTGAACACCTTGTCCCAAACACTCAATTGCTCGAAATCTTTGAACAAACAAACTTTCTGCTCATACAATTGGATGTCTGCACTGAGCTTTCTAACTTTCAACCCAAATTCTTCTAGTGCACGTCTGTATTCGTCAGAAGACATGATACAACTGTTTTTTACATCCATACCTTCAACTAATATCCATCCAATCTCTCTCTCTCTCTTTCTCTCTCTCTCTCTCTCTCTCTCTTCTTCTCACTTTTTTACCCTCTCACTCTCTCTTACCCTCACTACCCATCCCAATGATACACAGAAAATTTCAATAATTATTTTATTAATGATAGATAGACAGCATATATTATATTTTCATTAATAGCCAGGGCAAGTATTACATTTTCATAAGAAAAAACATATTCTGAAAAAAAAAAGTCATTTTTCATTGTCTTCTTTCGCAAACTACATTTGTAAAGATGATATCATGCTACTAAAATCTGTAAAATATTGTTAAAGTAAGTCAAGAATCAATATCTGTATGTTCATCACCAGAATCGATGAATCTCTCATATCTCTGATAATGTGAATCATGTAAATCCATATCACATTCATATCGTTCTTTAAGCCCAAATAATAATTCTAAATCTAAAACAGAGGAGTGTAAGTGTAGGTGTATGGTTTTTTTTTTTTTCTTTATAAATGTTTGATGAGTTGATTTACATGAAAAAATTACTCTTTTGCCTGTGTATGACCCCATGGCAATGTGTCGAACGAACCTGGAATCAAATACCGTTTATCATCTTTGGGACTCAGAGCAATTTTTGATTGTTGAATGCTAAACACATTGTGGGCATATGAACGGATAGTACGTTGAGACACTGTTTGTGCTCCGAAATTCTTCAAACAATTCAAATAATCTTCGAACCCAATTTTATTCTTGACAACATTAGTTTTCACCCCTTTCGATTTTTTGACAACCTTACCCCCTTGTACTTTATATGCATACATTTTCGAACGTAGTCCTACGAAATTAGTAACGATTTTCCCATTTGCTTCATCTTTTAATAAACCCAACTTTTTTTTATTGACTAGTGGCATATTATATTTATTATCTGGAGCATATTCAGATGTGTCAAATTGAGAGAGATCAGCCTTTATAACTTCTTCATATGCATCATCACATTTCAATTCATATATGAAGCTGTCTGTATCCATATATAACAATTTACACCTTTCAATACCCATTTTCGGAATCATATACTCATAGTGAAATTTGTACATGCACAATTTTGATAAATCTAAAATGGCCATTCCTACGTATAGAGGTTTATTAAAAATTATTTCGGTTTTCTGCATCTCTATGGCAATCAAGTTTTCTTCAAAAATTGTTCTACCACGGAATCGTGGACTAGCTATGAGATTTCTGGCTCCATAACGTCCCTGCCATGATCTTACTAGTTTCACTAATCTATGCTTTCGTATGTTTTCCATCGTCTTACCGAAAACTGCATTATTCATTAGTTTATAGAGATTTTTCTCAAATTCATTTGTTGCGGCAGTCCTCAAAGAAGTATTCAGATCTATATATGATTTGAGCCAAAAAGATTGCCTGAATTTCAAAATTTTGTGGATTTTCGTCAGTTTCAGTCCGTTTGCTAAACATTGTTTTAAATTTCTATAGTGTAAAATATAATCTTTTTTGTCGTAAAGTGTTGTCATTAATTTTGGTAATTTTGAGCCGGGTGGTATGCGATGTTCAGCAGCAAATGGAAAGTCTTTGTGATTGTTATGCAAGTCGCGAGGATATTCTAAGTCTACTTGTAAAATATATCCTTCAAGAGCATCATCAGCAATATTCATTACGTTGAAATTTTCAACGTTTTCCATCCATGAGAAATCTCCGAATGGTAAAGACTCTGACATTGCCCAACCGTACAAATTATTTACATCTAAATACATGAGATATTTTGAAGGTTTATTGGAATCATATTCAGACATATACTTGTTATTAGCTTCTGAATACCTACCACTACAAACAGAAATACCACCACGTAATGCCTTCTCGATGAACATGATTTTATCAACGTCATTCAATAATTCCAGTTTGCATTTGGTGTACTTTAACATGGCATCCCATGTATATCCAGGCATGGTATAGTACCATGCTGGATCTAACCCATAAGTTGTCCTACATTTCTGCCGGAATTTCTCGAAAACAGCGGTCAACAACATAACGTCTGTTTTTAAATATAAGTCAGAATATTCCCCTAAATTTTGAATTTTGAATGATGACCATACCTTTTGAGCATGGGCGTACTGCTCATCGCTAATGTGTTCATCATTCAATTTATTATAAAAATATTTCTTTGTAGGTAATTCAGTATCATTCAATTTTTCCAAACAACTAATGTAATCGTAGGGAAAGACACCCTTCTTGGTGAGGAGGTTGAATGTATCGTCATTCAAATGACTGAATTCTTTTTTCAAAATTTCAAAATCATTTCTATCCATGATTGAAGATAATTTATCTAAGGATGTACCCATGAAGCGAAAAGAGTCAATAAATCGGAATTTGATGCCTGTATTGTCATCATGTAAAGTGAAAGATATGTACTTTTCCATGTTTATTGGAAGTATGCTCATACGACCCTTTTTACTCAATTGACTGATCATGAAATGTGAATCATATCCTATCAGGTTGTGAAATGCAATTGGAACAACAAAGAGTTTCTTGAAATTTATGTTACAGGGTGCTTGATGCGCCCACCCCCTGAAATCGCCTGAAAAGTGATTATGATCGGCTACGATAATGTCTTTCTCCCTGAATGGTTTCTCACAAATATGACAGATTTTTGCTTTGCATTTGTCAGGACTAACAGTCATTGGCACGATTGTTTTGATTTTAGATTGCACGATTTCAGCTATCTTCGACATTTCATTTGCAAACCAATCCATACAATCTTCACCCCTATGGCTATTGAAAAACGACAAGGAATCATCGAAATCACATTTAAAATAATAGCCTGCACTATGAGCCACATGTTTCTGATATTTGCTTGTTTTTGATGAAACCATATCATCCACATGTTCTAATTGACATTCAAAGTCTGCATAAATTATAAAGGGGGTGGTTTGTTGGTAGGTGAAATTTTTGAATTCTATGTGATCATATTTTGGAAATGAAACTTTGCATTGGTTCAATTCAGAACACAGCATTTGATGATCAATCAATTTTTGTTCACATTGAAAATAATTCATGCATCTTTCACAAATAAATTTTTTACCATTATGTTTATTCACTTGGCTTGATATTAATCTAGACATATCTTGAATCAAACAGTAATGGTATTTGATGTCAGAATCTTCTTCATCAATCGGAGGAGCCTCATAATCATTTAATTTTGGATAATATTTGTTTTGAATTAGCAATAGATTAACGTGCCTTTCTAATTTATTTTTTGTAAGTCTGGCTGGCACCACAGTATAATATGATTTTTCCTTGACTAAATTCAACTCTAATGTGTATACATTCACGGAAATGTTATTGTCTTTTTCAAATTTTGGAATTTGACGTAGAGACATGGGTGCATCTAAATCTACTGTTTTCAGAACTGTAGTGTAATATGGATATGAAGAAGTCCGTTCCCTATGTGTTTTCGCTGGGTAGAAGGCACTTATGATTGACCAATAGAAACATGCCGAGTCAGTATTTTTTATATTCAAACATGCTCGCTTTTTAGAAATTTGTTCTGGCAGTCTAATAAAGGATGAACCATTTCCCATTTCAAGTTTGTTAATATTAACTTCCATTGATATTATTTTATGCAAAGCCCACCCAGAGTCA